CCCCCTCTCCCCCCCCCCCCCCCCCCCCCCCCCCCCCCCCCCCCACCCCCCCCCCCCCCCCCCTCTTCTTTGATCACCGGAGACGGAGCCCCTCCTCGTCTCTCCTCCACCGTCGAAACCCCTCCCTTCTCCTTCTCCCCAAACAATACCGGATCCCAAACAATACCACACAGTAAGTAGCAATTTTGAAGATTCGAGGGATTAATTTGAGAATCTGAAAGGTTTAAGAGAACCGATGTCTAAAACCATTTTCTTTTGATTTTTGATTTTTTTTGGGTAGTTATTTTGTGAGATTAGTTGTGATGAATATGTGATGCAGAGCACTAGGAGCTCAGGGAGAAATCTGAAGAGGCTTGACGAGGTGACTGAGGTGAAGATCAATAACTTGAAGAATTATATAATTGCTGGTTTTTTTAGTTCAATTTCTTAGTTATTGTGTATTTTACTCATTGATGAATTATATAATTGGTGGTGAACTATCATCCCTTCCTTGTATTACTGATGTTATTGAGGTTCTAAGTGCTCTGCTCTGTATCTGATTTTATGTTTTCCTGTGTTTATGCAATATATGGTAAACTACAAGAAACGCCCTTAATCTATATGCCATTTTTAAATAAACCCCCACATCTAAAAAGTTCAACAAGAAAACCCTTCATCTATGATAATTAAAGAAATGGTTAGTTTTGCAATGGAGTTTGGTTCTTTAAACATCTGGTTATACGTCAACATTAATTGCAATGGAGTTTGGTTCTTTAAACATCTGGTTATACGTCAACATTAAGAATTTTAGTTTAATAATACTAAAAAAGAGAGTATTTTATATCAAAAGAAGTAACATTTCAATATTTCTTTCCTTTTAACTCCCAAAATCATAACTGCGGACAATAACGTTTACTCAAGTACAAACGTATGGATGTTTGAAGAATAAAATCCCGTTAAGAGATTATTCATTAATCATCATAGATGAGGGTTTTTATAAACTTTTTTAGATGAGGAGTTTTATTGAAGAACAAGGTATAGATAAAGAGGGTTTCTTGTAATCCTCCCTTGAATGTAATTATGCAGTGTTTTATTGAAGAACAAGGTATAGATAAAGAGGGTTTCTTGTAATCCTCCCTTGAATGTAATTATGCAGTGCAATCTCCTTGATATTAAATATTTCAAAGAGGGTTTCTTGTAATCCTCCCTTGAATGTAATTATGCAGTGCAATCTCCTTGATATTAAATATTTCTTCAGGATACTATACACAATGTTATTGAAGATTTCATTACCTGGCCTGTACGGAAAATTGTTCTCATTTTACCTGGTGATTATAGGTATGATAATGCTACCTATGCACCTTTTATTGTATTAGGCATGTTTGGGATTTTTCCAAAGTGTGAATAATTGTAGTCCTCTTGTGTAGTGGCCTAGAGTTGAAACCTGTTGGAGTTTTGGAAGTAAAGCTTGTTCAAGCTAAAGGTTTAGCAAACAAGGATCTTGTAGGAAAATCCGATCCATTTGTTGTTGCCTATATACATCCACTCCCTGATAGGATGAAGACTAGCAAAACAATTGTAAGTGTGCATGTTAATCTTTGTTACTTTTCTAAGATATTCTTATCATATTATTCCTAAATAACTTGGATTGCTTAGAGAACAATGAATTGAATCTTATTTGGAATGAACACTTTGAGTTCATAGTTGAAGATGTGTCAACCCAACGTTTGATCGTCAAGGTTTATGATGATGAAGGGGTACAAGCATCTGAACTTATTGGTATGGCTCAATTTAAGCTGCTAGAACTTCAGCCTGGGAAAGTGAAGGTTGTTTGGCTGAAGTTTGTTAAAGATTTAGAAATTCAGAGAGACAGGAAAGACAGGGGCCAGGTAAGCTCAAGAATTATGATGGTCGTCTTATTTCTAGTTCTGTTTGACGTATTAGGGGTTTCATAACAAATATTTGATGGACATGCGAAAAGGACACCTCTTCTGCAAATGTACATGTCCTAAAAACATAAAACTTTATCGAAAGGTGGATAACTATTTTGGGCTGGCCATGTTAAATTATTAAAATGAAGTTTTGTAGAGTATTTGTATTTACTTAGGTAGCATGTTTTACGTAGTTTTCTTTTATGAGAGATGTAGTGAGAAAATTATGCATGAGAGCGTTTTGGTATTTTTCGGGAGCTTGCGCGCACATGATGTTTCATCTCTATTACCTGCTCCCATTCTCACCTTCTGTATTCTTCCCCTAGTTTTACCTTATTTTATTTGATGCATTTCTTTTTACCTCACTAGGTACATCTAGAGCTTCTATACTGCCCTTTTGGCATGGAAAATGAATTTACTAATCCTTTCATCAATAAAAAGCTTTCTCTTACGACTTTCGAAAAAACTATGAAGAGTGAGATTGATGGTGCTGAGACTGCTGAGATCGAAAAGACATTAACTCAGAGAAAAAAAGAGGTCATTGTAAGAGGAGTGCTTTCCGTGATAATTATAGCTGCCGAGGAATTGCCCGTGATGGATGTTATGGGAAAGGCAGACCCTTTTGTTGTGATCACTATGAAAAAATCTGGAACAAAGAACAAAACAAGCGTAAGGTTTTGGAATCCATATGTAATTCTTATACCTAATATAACTTTGCATGTTTTTTTATTCCCACCTTTAGGTTTTACATGATACCTTGCATCCAGTATGGAATCATACTTTCGACATAGTGGTGGAAGATGGGCTACATGATCTGCTTATTTTGGAAGTCTGGGACCATGACACTTTTGGAAAGGGATGTCTTTGGCGGGCCTCAAAATTAAGACTAGTTGCTCAAATATGAGCAACAAAGAAGAAGGAACAAAGACTTCAGCTCAAACCAGACAACATAGCATCTTTAGCAATTTGGAAGAAATTTATCAAGACAAAAACAAGTCCAGAGTTTAAGGTATGTTTTTTCTGAGATAATTAATCACAAGCTTATATTAAGAGATGTTATTATGATAAAGGACCAAGGTCTCCAGGTCAAAAGTGAAAAGTTCAAGGCATTAAGGTGCAGACAAGTCCCACACACTTGCAGTCACAAGGGAATGGTTAGATTAACAGCTGATATGGTAATACATATTATACATTGATATATGTTTTCTTAATGCAAAGTTATGAGTATGTCATCAGTCTTTCTTTTTTTTAAACATGAATCATTGTAGAAAAAAATAGTGCAAACCCATCTAGTGTGTCAAGGGTTAAAGCTTGGATCAAAACTCACACAAAAAAAGATGGTACACCGGTGAATTCAGCAGTTGGTGAAACAATTGTAAGGACACTAATTTTGCATATGAGTGAATATATATATTACTTTTTTAGAAGAACATGTATATATAATGTAATACATATATATGTTGTACCTTTCAGGATAAGCTTAAAAAAAATTAAAACTGCTACACCTTCATCCTCATCAACTAATGTGAGAGAAGATGCTCTTTCTAAAGTATTAGGAAAAGATAAACATGGGCGATTAAGAGGAATGGGAAGAGGAGTTACTATAAGCAAAGTATCTTTCTTACAAGCCAGAGACAAGCATGTGCTCCAGCTAAAAGAGGAAAATTCTGAATTCCAAAATAGAATACAACATTTGGAGACTATGATCCATAAATTAGTTGGAAATCATCAGGTACATCTATATAACTTTCAATTAATAGACTCTTGAAGTTTTATACTTTCAATTAATGGTTTGCTTGTTCTTATGTACAATTTATGAGTTTAGAGGTTGTATTGTTGATTCTTATGTTTCTGCTAGTTCATGTAAGTTACCGGTCTTTATAACTAGATTTGCTAACAATTTTGTTCCCGCTATTTCAGTATTTTTTTTTTAATCCAAGCTGCTGGTGTTGGTACTTATTTCTATCTTCTTGGACTTTCCTAATAATTCTCTCTATCAAATAAGAGATCCTTTAGCTGACGTGCTTGATACTCCTTAGGTGAAAAAATGGAGCATGTACTTGTAATTGTTGGATCTTCCTTTTGTGTCAGGTCGTGTGTGACATTGATCTCTTCATGCTTCTTTGTGCTATGTCGTTTGATGGCATTGATCTGTATTAGCAAGTCCTTAATTTTGGTGGTCTCACGTTGATTCTTCCATGACAGCTTCCTTCCTCTTATTGATAATGATTGGATCTTGGATATTCAATTTATAACTGTAATCCAACCTTGTTTATGGGTTAGTGGTTTTCACGATGCCTTTCTTAGTGCTGGACCCAGTGGCCACCCTGACTGATGATAATTTGTGTTTGATTTTCTTAAAAGTTAGCTTGTACCACTCCTTGGGAAGGAATTACAGAAATCTAAATAAACTAAGATTTTATGTAATAGTTATACATCTGTATGCATCAGGAACATGTAGCAAAATTATTTCTGTATACAGTTTGGTTTTGCAGGCCTTGATCGCAAAGAGGAGCGATATGGTGGTAATGTCTGGTGATGGACCACTGAAAGCTTATGTTCGCCGATGTGGCTATGTACATGATGAGTCTCCCAAGTCATATGTAATGCTTATGTTCGCCGATGTGGCTATGTACATGATGAGTCTCCCAAGTCATATGTAATGCAGCAAAGTTAGGTTGTGTTGTTCTATGTACTATGGTTAATTTCTTGCACTCCATGTTGGATTATCCAAAGACTAGTATTTGTTTTTTGGCACATTTGTGTTGACTCTTCTTATATGCTACAACTTGGTTATGTATCAGTTTGAACCTTTAAATGAAATATTTGCTTTTATGGTTGTTATAATTGGAAGCTATTTCTAGTTCAACCTCAAAGGTTTATAGGAACAACTGAAATGCTATAAGAAGTAGAAACAATTGCTGAAATGCTATTAAAAAAAGAAAGACAGCATTCGCTGAAACGCCATTGTAGTAACTCAAACACTATCAAATGTAAGACAATAGCAGTGTTGAAATACTATGAATGAAAACTAAATAATAGCATTTTTCAACCGCTATGAAAGATATTCGTCATAGCAATACAGAAACGCTATTGAATACCCTTTTATAGCTACATGAAAACGCTATGGTTGGAACCTTTTTGATAGCGTTTGGGCAAATGCTATGGTTAGAATTCAAATCCGGTAACTATTAAGGAAATTAAGAATTTTAGATTAGTACATTACTTTGTTAGTCTAAAGTGTAGACCTAAAGTCGAGACAAGAGCTGGAATCAAAACGACGAAGAAAACAGGCAGACAGATTCTGTTACGTGAATAAATATTTTACATGAATAAATATACCATTAATAATTATTTTTATCTTTAATTGCAGGTTAATCAAGAATAAAACCCAAGATCTCTTCTCTTAACAAAAAACTCATGAATTAAATGAAGAATACAAGCAAGAGCCAAAAAAGCCTAAGCCCAGAATCAAGCCGAGTAGCCTGTAGAATCCAGAGAAAATAAAAAAATCAAATATGAAAAAATATATTCAAGATGGTTGGCCGTAAAGAAACGACAATATCTCTCAATCCAGAAAGTGGAATTTAACATATAATATATAAAAATCACATATCTCGATGAGACGAAGTCATCCGTGAAGGTAGAATTTTGATAGGACATTGATGCTAGCATCAATTCCGGTATCGATGCCAGCATCAATGCTGGCATTGATACTGACAATTCTGTTACGAATTAAGGGTTGATTATTGATAGTTTTGGATAAGATTTTAATCCAAGGGCTCACATTCATTGATTTTTACTATAAATAGGGGTAGAGAGTGAGGAGTTTAGGGTGTGAAAAATTTTGTAACTCCATTTGGAGAGGAGGGTTACTCTTAATCGAGAAGACCTTCCAATTTTGTAACTTTTTGTTACAATCAATAAAAGAATTTTTTTCACCTCTTCATATTTTCTTTTCTTCTCTTTATTTGATGAAGAATATGAAGATGGGATAAAGATGAAGTTCAAGAGTGAGGTTTGCTTTCATCTTGAGGCTAGAACCCTCTTGGGTGGTAAATTTCATCTTTGTTAATATTTTTATCTTTTTATTTTCTTCTTTAAATAGCCAAGAGGCTAGAACCCTCTTGCTTTAGATTTATTTCATGCTTATAGAGTAGATTTATTTCATGCTTATTAAGTAGATTTATTTCATGCTTATAAAGTAGATTTATTTTCTCGTATTTAATTCTTGCAATTTATTTTGTAGTTTAGTTTTTATAATTTATTTTGTAGTTAGATTTTATTTTCTTACACTATTCACCTTGAGGCTAGAACCCTCTTGGGATTAGTTTTTATTTTTATATTCTTTGATTAGTCTTGAGGCCAGAACTCTCTAGGGAATTACCTTTTCCTTTGAGGTGAGTTTAATTCTAGATTCCTCATATCTTTAATTGAACTCTCATTCTTTTCTTTCTTTATTTTTCCTTTTCTTTTATTTTCTTAAGTTTTATTTCCTTCATTTTTTCCTTTCTTTTCTTGTAATTTTATTTATTCTTTATCTATCACTCTCAATATCATTTTTTACACACAATCATTCTCATTCTCTCCATCTCTCTACAATCATATCTATCATCACTCCTAATTATCACACACACAACATACGAACCGATTTTAATTTTCTCCTATAATACACCTTCCTCGTGGGATCGATAACTCTTTATATTATAATTTAATTAGTTGTGCACTTACAACTTTTGGTTCATGATTATGCCCCCATCAAGTTTTTGGCGTCGTTCCCAGGAAAGGTGCTAAGTAGGATTTTATTATTTTGGTTTTTTAACTTATGTGTTTTCTAATGAAGGAACCGTTTGGAGCTTAAAAATCTTGGATTGGAGATCTAGAACTTGAAGAATTGCTTTTGGGTAACTCTTCTTTCTAGTATTTTTAATACCACCCTTTTTAGTTAGGTTCACAATTAAAGACAATTAGGATCTAAAAAAAATATTTTTGTCGACCATAATAAAGTCCACCCTCCACTTGAACATTTACAAACAAAGATAATAAATTCAAACAATTTTCCCCCTTCTCGTAGTTGTTTGATTGTTAACCCTAATAAAAAAAGATTTTCTTTTTATCATCCTTTTGTAGTCGCTTTTAATTCATAGGGTTGCATTGCATATAGTTAGTAGGAATCCACCAAAGTAATTTGAGCATCTTGATTTGACACACACTTGAAAATATTCTTAAAGGCAAAAACCCATAATCAATATAAGGTAAGGGATTTCATCACCCTTTCCTTAGCCCACAAATCACTAATTCCTCACTTCACAAACCTAAGCCTTCTAAAACTCATTAGACATTGGCCCCTAAGGACTTAAGCTCAATAAGGAACAAAGAATCCCTAAGTGAACCAGTTCAAGTTTTCTTGGATTAGTTGGTGTCTAAGGCAATGTTTAGGGGTTGCGTAAAGTACTCTGTGTTGGCCTTCTTGTTTTGATGATGTTTAACAAACAATTTATTACTAATGTTGTTTGTCTAGTGTTTGTGCATTCCTATGTTTTGTAGACAAACAACGTAGTTGGAGGATGGATGGATTGCGCCATAACGATCATATCAAATGGAGGTTGGCGGTTCATCCGCATGTGTACCAAGTTGAGAGCTTATTGAAGATCAAGATCGGCTTGGTTAATCTAGTTTAGATTTTATATTATGTGTGTTAAGTACCTTAAGCTCAATATCATATACACACACGTATTTGGTTTCTATGTATATATATAGTTATATATATACATGCATGGTTTTGAGTTTCATGCTTTGGACACACTTGCAAAATACATGAGTTTTCACAAATGGAAATTCAATTTGAGAAATTCTTTTTCTAACATGTTTGTTTTCATGTTTACAAACATTTCGCAAAGTTTCATCAAGTTTAGAATTGATTTGTTATGTTTAATGGAATTTACAAAATCATGTTTTCGTTCGTGCACATGTTCGTGCATGTTTCACAAAACAGATGAGTTTTCGCAAATGGGAAGTGATATTTGAAAAATTCTTTCTCTGACATGTTTATCTACATATTTAGAAACTTTCCTCAAAATTTTACTATTTTTGGAGTTGATTTACTGTGCCTAATTGATTTTACAAAATCGTATATGTTAACAGTTTTTCAGAAACTGTAAATTTGTGTTCAAATATTTATTTCTCTCAACTGGGAAAAGATGTTTCAGAAATTCTTTCTCTGAAATGTTATTCTACATGTCTAGAACATTCCCACAAAATTTCATAATTTTTGGAGTTCATTTACTATTTTAAATTGATTTTACAAAACAGCTACACACTGCTACAGTACTCCGGTCGACCGGAAATGTCTTTGGAGGTTGGTTACTGTAGCTAACGGCTATATTTTCCAGATTTATATATATCCGTTATTTTTGTCTTTTTGCTTGGTTTTCTTGGGTTTTTGGGCTTGTTTCATGAGCCTATATATACTCCATGCCGACCGTACCAGTCGACCGAAGTACTGTAGCATCCGACCGTTGCTACAGTAACGACTAGTTCTGTTTTTTTGTTTATTTTAATGTTTTGGGGGTGTTTTTGTTGGTTTTTGGGGTTGTTTCATGAGCCTATATATACCCCATGCCCTCATACCTCTAAGGTAACTCAAGAAATGTTTTAAACAAGTTTAAAGAGTTTTAAACAAGGGTTTAAGTGAGTTTTAGTGTTTGTTTGGTTTGAAGATTATTTTTACAAGTGGAGGAGATCATCTTCTTGTTTGGGCTTCATATCTCCATCTCTTCATCTTGATCTAGAGAAGTTTTCCTAAACTCAAGTCTAGCTTTTATTTATAATTATTTGTTGATTATCATTTCTATTAAAGCTAGTTTTATATTGAGTTTAGTTTGATTTGATTTACTCTTTGTTTGCACACACAACCATTGAGCTTATTGTATTTGCATACATTATATAATTGGGTTGTGGGATAGTGTGACATTGAGTTGAGCCTAATTGAGTTCTCACCTTGTTAGAGAGAACAATCATTTGCTATATTGTGCTTAATTGTGAAATCACTTTGTAATACACTTGTACACCGAGTGAGGAGTGTGTGGTGAGAGTCGGGGATCGTCCCAAGAGGAGTGGCGTCGGTTGACGTGCCTAGGGAGAGGTTGTAACCGAGCACTTGAGGGAGACACGGCTAGGTCCAACACTTAGTGGGTGTAGAGTGTGATTGCAAGAGTGTGAGTTGTAGAGTTTTCGGTTAGCTAGAAAACCGAGTGTGTAGAAGAAGTTCCGGCTTCCAAACCGGATTGTGTTAGTGGATTTCTCCCCGGGAGTGGGGAGCGGAGACGTAGGACGGAAGGTCCGAACTCCGTGATCATATTGCTTGTTTGAGTGTGCTTTGGCGTTCATTCATATTTATGTTCATATCTTATATCGCCATTGTCATTAGCTCATTATCTATATCATCCACTATCTTGTTTAGATTGTTTACCCCTTGTGTTAGTTTACATATCCTATACATATATCATATTGTATATCTCTTTGATAGGATATATCATCTTGTGTTAGCTCATATATCCTTGCATATATCTCATAGTATATCTCATTGCTAGGATATTTACCTTTGTTCATTTTGCTTATTCTTGCACATAACTCTTGTATATCTATCTTGCAAGAATATACT